TGACTTATTTCACTTAGCATAATCTCCTCCAGTCCCATCCATGTTGATGTAAAAGTTGGGTATTCATCCTTTCTGATGGCCGAGTAATATTCCATGTATATATGGACCATAAGACAGGAATCCATCAAAATTATCTTTATTTTTTTTAATGTTGGAGAAAGATCTTTGGACTCATTGAAACATTCTTTTGTTTGGTGGATGTCATCTACCCAAGATGGGCTTCCACATAATTGACTTTAAGAGGACTATAGGTTAGGTTTATTTCTGCCCGTGTTAAAGTGGTGCTATGTGGATGTTTTCTGCAGAATAAAATGAAGAGGTTGATTGTCTGCAAACTTACCTCCAGCACCAAATGCCCACAAAGAAGTAGGTTTTTCTGGCACTGTGGTCACAGAGGGCTGCATCAATTTTTGTCACATGTCTTGGAAAGCCAAGTGTATGGATGGGTTTGGGATAATCTGGCAAGACAGCATATCCTCTGATCATCCAGAAGTTGTCATCTAGGAAGAGAGAAAGTGATTATCTTCTGATCTAATACCCAGAGGGAAAAATAGATGTCTTAAGAAATTTGAAAATAATTAGATGCCTCGTCTCTCAGGATTTAGTTGTCTCATGTCCCCATTTATTCTTACTGCCTTCTTTAGCTGCTTTTATCATTACAATTACACAAATAACACACCCCAATAGTTAATAGTGAGCATGCTCACTGGTATGCATGTCATTTGGTTTCACTGGATTATTTCTCTAACTCTTGACAAAACAGTCAACTATGCTTGGACATGTTCTCCTAGATTTCAGCCCCCAAGTATTCTCAAAGGCAAGTAATCTGATGAAATCCATATAAAAATAGCATTGATAACTTAAATATAAGATTCTGGTTAAATCTGAATTTCAAAAAAACAATGACTCATTTTTAGTATAAGTATGTTCAAACATTGCAAGGAACATACTTATAATAAAAAATTTTGTGTCTTATCTGAAATTCAAGGCATCTTGTATTTTTATTTGCTAAATCTGACAACCGTAGTAAAACAGGAATATAAAAGAGGGATGGGTTCCCTTTATTTGGCAGAAAAAAAGATAGTTTTTTAGTTTTTACCATACAGGTTTCTTTTAGCTCCCGTGTAGTTGGGATGATGTTTGTCTTCACAGCCACAGAGAACCCCTGGATAGTTTTGTTTTTGAAGGAACCCATGGTCATGGCAGAAGCACTCTCCATCTGGCCCATGTGCGAATATTGTGTTTCTTACCCCAAAATACCCACCAATCAGTTCAGGCTTCCAGAGACAGAAGAGAAATCGTGATGGGCAAAGTTACCTTTAAACACTAGGATCTTATCTTTGGGGCTCTCATATGCGGCTTGAACATCACCCGGCAGGGACGGCCAGAATGAAGAGATCGGTTCGAATTCCACATCAGTGATATCATAGTAGATCCTCCATACGTGCCTGGGATGAACAAAAGACACTTTCCACAAACAGCCTATACTCCAGTGGAAACACTGTAAACCTAGGCTTGTCTTTTATTTAATTGATTAGCATTCTCCTCAAATAATTTAGAGCATTCACACGATTTTCCTCAGCCAGTGTAGGTGGTTGTGAGCTCACTTCTACCCTGTGACTACAAAGGACACGCATTTGTGCCCACTCTCCTGGGAACTTAGAGTAGCAACCTACCCACAGAAATCTCAATTCTGAGTGCTCAATGACCTCATTTTTGCCAAATCAGCAATACTCAAAATTCCAAGGCAACACCAAGCATCTAAGAAAAAGTTTTTGGTCTGATGTTTGCTAGAATAAAGAAGTATTATCATTGCAGGGTAAAATATTTCCTGAGATGTTCCCCTCTGGCTGTAAACTTCTGAATCCGTGAATGAGACTCAAAAAGCTCTTCCTACGCTGGGCCGCCCCTCTCTGATGTCCCTGACAAGTGGCCTCAGCCTCTGCGGTGCAGAGCGTGGTGGTAGCATGTCATCCGAGTGTCGTATGTAGCTGTGGGTGGAAGGGGACTGATTTCAAATATTCTTTCCTGGTGCCCCAATACTTGTGAGACGGTCTACGTCTCAATCCTTTGTTCTGAAAATACAGTCGTGGTAAACACAAATGTTGCAACTGAAGTCCAGTAAGTTTTTTTTTTTTAAAGATTTTATTTATTTATTTGACAGAGAGAGAGAGAGAGCACAAGTAGGCAGAGAGGCAGGCACAGGGAGAGGGAGAAGCAGACTCTCCGCTGAGCAGGGAGCCCGACGCGGGGCTCGATCCCAGGACCCCGGGATCATGACCTGAGCCGAAGGCAGTTGCTTAACCAACTGAGCCGCCCAGGTGCCCCTGAAGTCCAGTAAGTTATACACGGGGAGAGAAGAGAGTTCCTACTACAGCGAAGACTTCACTGATGCAACATGAAGGAATCATGGTCATTCATGTTTACCAGCTGGCTCTTTTGGTAGAAAAAAGACCTAACTTTTATCATTTGCTGATTTCCAGGGTGTAGATACTCCAACCATGGCCAGTTTCAAGCTATAGAAGTGATGTGAAGTGGTTTACAAAATTCCCCCAAATTTAACCATGGGCTCCTGAAACGGTATAGGTCAGCTCCAGGACCACTGGGATTGGTGTATTATTTTAGCTAAGAAGTCACTGAAAATGACTCTACTTCACCTTCTTATCCAATGGCAATTAAAAAATTTGCTTAAGAACATTTAAAAATTAATTTATCAAACAAGCAAGAGATATATACACATAGTAAAACATTCAAAGAGTATGGGCGGTTATAAAAGGAAAAGGAAAAGGATCACTTTCTCACTATCCCCATGATTTCCTCCCTATTTACCTCCAAATCTCTTGAAAAGAAAAATATTCATAGGAAGTTGAGGTGTTTAAGGGAATGGGTTTACCTGCCTTTAAAGAACATTACTTCTCGGCGGAAGGTGGTGATAGCGTCAAAAGTCAAATCAGGGTCACAGGCATGGGGTACAATGGCCTCCTTTGGCTTAGCAGATGTCTTAGGTAGACTGCCTTTGATGAGAAAAGAAATAGCACAGTGAATTAAGAAGGCATGTGGAAATACTTACAGAAGGATCTTACCCAAGTGGATATTTTCTTCATGGTGATATTTCAAGAAGTGATTTTTTCACTTCCTTTCTGGAAAGTTTCCTATTTAGTTCACGTATATTCAGATTTATGAGGTTGCTCACCATAGATGGATTGGATTCCATTGATATCATCCTGAGAAAGTGGGTATTTATTAGGATCCAGGGAGACATAATTTGGAAACATCAAAGCTGTCTGATCATTGGAGTGAGAGAGTCCCAGTGCATGACCAAATTCATGAGCAGCCACAAGAAATAGGTTGAATCCTTAACAAAAACAGGAAAAACATGGGTATGTGGGTCAATCAAAAGAAGAATGGTTGCATCTGAGATTAGGAAGTAACTAAGGGGAGAGAAGGAAAGGCTTGCCATAGAGTGGGTAATTCTTATATGCTCCATCATTTATCTGGGAAATATTTCAACACTAGTAATTGGTATTAGTCATATCATGGAGAACTATGATCCAGAGCAAGCAAATGGCAGGAAACAGGTGTGTGAGAAATAGATAATACAAAAAAAAAAAAAAATAGAAGCCACCAGTTTCTGGTTGTTGCTGGGCTGTACTGGATGTGATCACATTTCTCCTACTTGTATCCTTCAGAGGTTCTCCATTGGCTGTAGGATCAAGTCCAAACACCTTACCATGGCCCTCCATGATCTAGTCCCTGCCTTTTTTCCAGACTCATATTTTGTTCTCATACTTCATGAGCTAACCATACTCAATCATTTGCATCTCTCATCTGTGCCATGTTCCTCCTAGTCTCTATGTCTTACTACCTCCATCCCGTCTACCCAGAATATTATCTCTCCCACCCCTGTTTGCCTAGTTCTTCTACTCGTTGCTCAGGAAACCTCTCTAGAATCATCTCCTCCATGAGGCTTCTCGTACTTGCCCCCTCCTTTCCTGGCTGAGTTAAATGCACCTTTCTGCGTTTCCAGAGACTCAGTGTTTAATTCTGTCATAGCACGTAAGGGACTGCACTGACTATTTCCTTCATGAAGTGATGCATCTTTTCAGGGACTGTGTCTTGGCCACCTTTTATTCCCGGTGACTCTTGAACTGCCTATCAGTAGTGGATGCCTAATAACTGCTGCTGGGTATCCAGGTGTGTATTTGGATGGAGGAATGGTTAAATGTGCCTCCTATTCACCCATATTGGAAGTCTCACCACGCATGGTGAAACCACCTTTTTATCTCTCTCTCTCTCCCACTAGTCTGTTAGGTTCTAAATAGAAGACTGTCCATGGGTTTGCAACTCAGCCTATGGATCCTAAAGAAGAGGCTGAGTCTTCTGTGATGGAGTCTTGTCCAGTGATGTTTGAACAAAATAAACATGGAATGACCAGGGATTATTTAATGGTCCTTTAGGCTTTTCTGCTCTGACCTTTGCTGGTGCCCCTTGTCTGGCTGTCAGTATTGCTGGGTGTGCTTTTGGCAAGATGGGACAAGGGACTCTGAAAAGAATTCAAACTCAGGTCATCTCAATGACTTCCAAAGCTTTATGCTAGCTTTTCAGACCCTACATGGTCTGGATCCTGTCCACCATTTCTGCCACAACCCTGGTACTTGAGTTGGTTGGGTTATTCTTTCCGGAGCACTGTCTACTCCACTTTGCTTTCTGAGTTCCTGCTTAGCCTTCAACTCAGGTTTGGTATCACTTCCTCCCCTGACCTCTGTGTTTGGGTTCAATTTTTTTTACGCACTCCTACTACATTGCTATAGTTTCCTTTATCCCAATGTTGGTCATACTGATTTTAATTGCCATTTGAGTGTGTCCCCTAGACTATAAACCCCTCAAGGGCAGGGTCTGAGTCTCGCACACTATCATGTACTCTATATCACAGAGCCTGGGTCATGGTGGATGTTGAGTAAAGGATTTCTGATTGACTTCATTTACCAAAATTGTAGAGTATCTATCATGTGCTGATTTGCAGAAACTACAAATACTGACCCACAGACTCTCTGGAGTTACTTGGTCAGGACTGAACTGTGTGATCCTATATACCACACATCAGGAGACTCATAGCTGCTTTCCTGGGACCCAGGAAACCAGATACCAGACCCAAGGTGACTGTTGTCAATGACAGTAAATGGAGTGGGGAGAACCCTAAAGTCTCCTGAGCCTGCTCCTTTGTTGGATGCACGTATTTTTACTATAGTCAAGTTTTGATTTTTGTTTGAAAAGTAATAAAAATTTTCTTATTTTAGTACCAGGCAGGCATATTAAAAGAAATAAAATCAACTCACTTGGTCTGAAGGAATAGGTTGAACAAAGATTAGGGTCTAATTCCTTGGCAGGTGGGCAAGTGTTAGAAGAGTAAGTTCATGCCTTCAGATCGACCTTCTAGGGGCCACGGGCCCACAATACCATCCTTCAATCACTAACTCAGAATTACCACCTGCCTAGAGGCTTCCTCAATCCTGAAGCCAGAGATGACTTCTGCCATTGGTGCAACATATAGCACAGTCTGCCTTGCGGGGTGGTGTGTGGTCTGGGCCTCACACCATACAAGATCATGAAGCTCTGCAGGGTTGGAACTTGTCCAGGACAACTCTGTGGTCTGTCCAATGCCTTGCACAGTTCCAGGCCCACAGTGGACCTTCAGGCATTGTGGGTGTATGAACGAGTGTGCAAGTACACGAAGAATGCTCAGATCATGCAAGGATTAGCATCTGTAGGAAGGCATTGTGTGGATAAGGCCCTGACCTGTACGAGCACAGTTATCTAATAGATATTGAACACTTCCATCAATGTCATCTTGGAATATGGAAACTGGGGAAATTGAGAAGCAAAAAGAAACTAATTGCAAAGCTATTTCAGGGATTCTTTAGAATAATAAAATTTGGTTCATGAAGAAAATTGGGCTCACCTGCTCCATCCTTGGTCCAATTTTCATCCTCATCGAAGTGAGTGTCTCCACCCAGACCCAGACCGGGAGGAAAGGCATGGCCGAGGACTCCCAAGGGGCCATCAAAATAACGAGGACACCAGCCATGGACTGAGATACAGTTCACAGGGGGAAGAAAATGTCAGCCTCTCCAAATCTCCTGAGATGGAAATAGCCATACTTTTTTCTCTGCTGGAAACCTTACCTCGGGTCCTAAAGGCAATCATGATGTCTGCAATCCCCTTGGAAGTCTTGGTGAATGTCAGTGGAGTAACTCTGCTCCACACTTCTAGGCCGTTCTGGATAGCCTCGTCCACATCTGCTCGTGCCATATCTGGAGTGTAGTTTATGATTCTTCACAAATCACCAAAATAGATCAGTTGGTGATGACACATGCATGTAGGCACACAAAGACAAAAAGATCCTTTCTTATAAATCATATGCTGCAGTAACGGATAGTATCGTGCTGTTCTTGGATTGGTATAATACGTTACTGTTTAAATAAAGCACGTTTACCTATGCTGTGTGATCCAATCCTGTCATCCGCCCTGTTCATCAGGGAGTATAATAACACTTCAACAAATGAGACTCAGAGAGGGTCAGTGACTTTCCTAAGATCATATCCTGAGAGCGAGAGTATTAATCTCAGGTATGTGCTCGCTGTGTACAGGAATGGAGATCTGCTTTCTCAGATGGCTTGTGGAAATCAGTCTTATGCATGTGTCATATATGAAGAGTCTCCCTTAAGAGCTTTAAAGAGTTAGTTACTCAGGAAAAGATTTCCCTCTGGTTTATATTCCCTATCTTGCTAAAGCTATTTTTAACCCCTAAGACTGAAGTGAAGAAAGATTTATGAGAAGCACTTCGGGACCTGCCAGGAGGGCTTGAGAGCCACAGTCAAGGGCACCGACTCCAGTCGGAAGCACACCTCAGCCCCCTTTCCTTGAGATGCCTGGGGGCAAACTCCACACTGCACCCAGGGTCTACCTGAGATTTGATAACTCTCGCCCACAAGTGTCTCTAACATGAACGGGTTGCTCCAGGCTCTTCCCCTTTTCTCTTGAGCATACTCCAGCCGTACCTTCAACCAGCTGCAATCAGATGGCTGTGTTTCTGGTCCTGAGTTTATAAGCAAGTGGCCGAGGCTAGAGATTAAAGCATATCTGCCAGAGCCAGTCTGCTGGTAAGACTTGACGATGGTAAATAACCTTTTGTTTCAGTGTCCCTGTGTTTCAGGTGGTCCCATCAGTGGTGCCTACATCCCAGGGTCATGGGGAGGATGGAATAAATGAGACCCACGAAGGGCCATGCACCTAGGAAGTGCTCGGTGCAGTCAACTGTTGTCTTCCCGTGTTTGGGGACTAGGAGGGAAAGAGTGTGCAGAAGCATTACCTGTATGTGAGGTTGTGTTGTCTCCACCCTGGGAGAGTGTAGCCATACTGACCCACGTCAGGCACCCCGCATCTGGGTGTCTTCATGATCTCAAGAGTGTTTGAGTCCAGTTGTCCAGTCACTGTCAATCCAAAAAATGCTTGCATTTCCCGAATTTTGCCATCTAAGAGACTCCTGTTCTTGCTTTGAACAAGATGACTCCCTTCTATTTCAAGAGAGTAGAACTGGTTGAGATATGCCTGACCAAAGAGACAAAAAAAGGACACAAACTACAGGACAGCAAATCTATATCTCAGGATAAAACAAAATCGTCTGAAATCCTTTTCAGCAGTAGGTGGGAAGAAAGAAGTAAGTAGTGAGGGGAAGGAAGGAGCGAGAGAGGAAAAAAGAAAGGAAGGAAGCAGAGTCATCCTGCCTCTTCAGTTCTCAACAAGTGGCTGAGCTGTGTGTGACCAGAATTATACAAACCCCAGAGCCTATAAAACTCCAAACCTCCAGGGAGTTCCTCCCGGGAGGAACTCCAAACCCGCCAGGGAAGACAATCAGCTGATTCTGTGTGTTAAAGGATCACACAGCTTACACGTCTACTTTCATTTTGGTGTTTCCTTAAAACAAATTCTAAAAGAGATATGTCATTGTTCATTTTGCCAGTTTAATTAATGTAACCAAATATGGCAAATTCACTGGACTGATTTTTAGAGGGAATCTCCAAGGCAAAGTATTTGTCATGCACGTAGGGGTAAGGGGACCTAAAGTTGTAGTTGGGTCCCCCTGGTTGGTATGGACATTCTTATATAGAGATCTCCATTCCTCCCAGGGCTGTCCCCTTTCTTCTCCCTCCGTCTTCACTTGGACCCATTGCTTGAAATGGCAGCAAATCCTCCTTTCCCACCCCTACCCCCACCCTCCACCCCGTACATGGTTACTTGGTGTCCTTAGAGCTAGGGGAAAGTACTGGAATCTTTTGTAGGAATTTGCTGTCTTTTTAGGTTCCAAGACAATAAAATTCATTTTTTATTGATAGTCGTTATTAACATGTATTGAGACAGTACCTGCGCCAGCCTCATGTTCTCTTCAGTGTCCATCTTTCGGTCTGTAGGAAATGCAGAAGAAAACGTTATAAGGAGCAAAAATTGAAGCAAAAGGCTCTTCATTCCTCTCTCTTTTCTGTTGAAGCCTGTTTCTGTTTCCACAGAATTTAGAAAACAAGAGTAAGACGTGGCATGAATTGGCTTGTATCATCATTTAATTAATACCAGAAAAGGACTTTTGCCATGAAGTGTGTCATGATATGCTTTTTTTCCCCTTAGGTTAACTTGATTTTGCAATCATGATCTGCAGTTTTTGAGTAAACACAATCACTGTTCATTATTGAATTGAATATAATAGGAAGCCAGCGTCCAAGTTACTGTTGTCCTTGCAAAGTTGGAGCTCTTCTTATCTTCGAAGTTCTTGAGAGATTGTAAAGTAATTTTCTTTTGAACGAAACCCCAGAATATCTTGGATAGAAAGGTATCACGAAAAGACAATTGAATCAGGAGTCAGATTACCGTAATGAACTAGGATAAACAGCCCATGTGTGTTGGGCACCTGCTATTTGCCTGTCACCATAAACTGAAGCATGAGTAAGACACTGTTCCAATCTTGTTGGGGAATTCAGACGTGTACAGAAATTAATGCCAGACGAAACTGAGGCGAGTGGCGAAATGTGCACTGAAGATTCCAGAGCGTGAGAAGAGCCAAAGGTAGGATCGCCGCTGATGAGTGTGGTCTAGCGGCTCAGCCAGGTGGGGCTTCTGCTGGCTCTTGAAGAATGAAATGGGTAGGATGTGGATGACACAGGGGGTGTGTGGAGAGCCCAAGGAAGCAGGTAGGAGAGCCCAGATGAGCTTTGGGAGATCTGGCCGACTGACGCCAATATACTTGAAGATGGCCGAGGGAGATGGGGCGGACAGTGTAGAGGGTACAAGGAAAATGAATGTTTTCCATCTTTTCATGCCTAAGAATGTCCCTTATTCCATTTGACACCTGGTTGAGTGTGCCTACAGAATTTCAGACCAAAATAAATTTTCTTTAAGACATTAGAAGCACGCTTGCATTGTTTTCTAGAATCTAGTGTTGCTGCTGGGAAGTCTTTCATTCTGATTCTTGATGTATTTTCTTCTGAAAAATGTTGGGAATGTTCTCTTTATGCAGATATTCTGAAATTTCATAATGATGTCTCTTGATGTGGTTTTCTTTTCTTTTTTCCTTTTTCTTTTCGCATTAACATTACTGGGCAGTAAGCAGACCCTTTCATTATGAAAACTTCAAGAAAAATTTCCTCTGTAGTTTCTTTGATAATTTCTTCCCACTCTATTTTCCCTTACCTTTTCTAAAATACACATCTGTTGGACCTCGTGGACTGAAACTCCGTGCTCCTGATATTTCTTTTACTACTTTCTGCCAACATTATTTTCCAGCCCAGTTGTGTTTTTAGGTTCCAAGAGCTTTAATTCTCTGAATATTTTATTTATTTTCTTGCATTTTGCTAGTGGTGTTTGGATGTAGAATATACCTTATCTTTTGAGAATGTATAGTATTTTTAAGTCTATCTTGACATTTTCTTTTGCTCCAAGAATTGTCTATATTTCTTCAAAGTTTCTTTCTGGGTGCCTGTTTCTCATGTTAGGAGGTTTTTTCACATGTTTAGAGACTCTGTGCTGTGCAATCTGTTTAAGAATGAGAGACCAGAGAGCTGACTGGAAGCCCTATGAGATGACCTTCACTGCAGGGAGGTGAGGTAGGTTTCAGATGTTTCATGTGATGCTTTAGTTGGGATAAGATTTGGTTGAATAGAGAACTCAGACTAACAGATGATTCAGAAAATAAAAACTTATTTCTCCCTCACTTAAAAGAAGCACAGATGGGGCAGCCCAGGGTTCATATGGCAACCCCCCACCCCCGAGGATACGGGCCGCCTCCACCTGGTTGCGCTGCTCTCTCCGTGCAATGCCTCGTGGTCTCCAGGTGGCTACTCAGGCTCTGATGGTTGTGTCTTCGTTATAGGCAGCAGCAAGGAGGATGGCAGAGAAAGCAAGCTCCCAGTCCCTCTCCAGAAGCGCACACAACACTCTGCATATGCATTTTGGCAAGAAATTAAACACTGGCCACACCTGGTCATAAGCAAGACCACAAAACGTATTGTTAGTTGGATGTATTACGACCTCAAATGATATTGGGGTCTTATCGCAGCAGAGGAGTGGGGAGAAGGTGTTAACATAGGTCAGTGTCAGTATGTATAAGTCTTCTTTCTTGGGCTGTGAAACTTCTCCAGAGGAGACCTCTCCAATTTCCCATCATTTTAATCGTCCATCAGCAAAGATGTAGGAGATGCCTCTGGCATGCTTTCTGCTTTCCTCCCAAGTGTTAGCCTAGAGCCACCCTATGCACGAAGGAACAGAAGGATGAATGCCCGGCCTCCCTTCCCTTCCAGATTTCAACAGTGAAAGGTGTTGGCTAGGCTTCTCAGGAGGTTCAGCTGGCACCGAGCCCCAGCTGCCCGGCGTAGAAACCTCGATAGTGCCCTTGTCTCGGTTTTCTCCTCTACCTCACTCTGCCTGCCTCCCCGCTCTTGCTTCCTGGGAACATGTCCCCAATAAAATAACTGCACCAAGGCCTGGACTTAGCCTTTGCTTTCGAAGAAATTTAACCCAAGGTAAAAAGTACTCTCATTATTTAAATTCTAAGCTTAGATTCTTGGAGCTCTTGAATTCACATAAAACTTCAGTGTAACAGCCAGAAAATACCACATATTGTCAAGAAGAGAACTTTACAAAAAGGAGTAATTTTTGAATTCTTTGTTTCACTTCACATTGCTGTTCACTTGCTAAGACTCTGCGAAATATGGTTAAAGAAATAGTATGAACTCGGTTTTCATCTCAACAACGTGTGTATATATATGAGGTTTGGGGCAAGAACCTAGCATAACTAGCAGGTGTTCTGAATCTCCCATCTTCATGCTTGTAAAAAGGGACATAAGATGTCTTAGAAAATATGATAGTCTGAAATTGACTCTCATGTTTGCACTTGTTATATTGATGCAATGAATTATTTCTATCACTCCTTTTCCCTAGCACAGTCCCTGGGACATGTAGGTGATTACTTATTGTTGAATAAATGAATGTTAGTGTATCCTAGTTTGTTTTCTCATCTTGTAAAATAAGTGGAGAAAAAAATGTGCTGACATATTTGAGGGAATCTGTAAAGGAAATTGAATATTTACAAAATATTTTGTAAATGGAAACTAAAAGTTAATGCTGACAAGAAAATAAATGGCTGCGAATATACTGAAATTTGCCATTTGTTTTCATACTTTATATGAACTATGTGGTAGCATCTTAAGAAATTATAGATCACAAGTCAGTCATTTAATATATCTATTTTGAACTCACTTAATTTTTGAACCAGAATAAGGTAGCAAATTACTAAATTATCTGTGAGATGTAAAAATGAGCTGAAAAATAGAATGTTAGTAATAAATATATTTTAAAATTTACTTATTTAATGTGTAATAAGCTGCATTATATTCTAACAACTGCAAATATGACATTATAATGATTTTGATGTCTGGATTAGCCATTATGGTCCCAGAATCCTAAAGCTCTTGACAGAAAAGAACCACTATCAAATGTATGCATCTCAGCTTAGTTTAATTTAAGAGAGTCATTGAATTTTGTGCCCAGCACTGTTTGGTTTGTGCAGTAAATCCCACTTATGGGTAGTGTGCCCTCCTGAGTATCCCTGGAAAAGAAGAAATAAGGAACAACAGTTCCAATCACTAGCCCATTTGCTTAGACTCTAAAAGGATAGAGCTGGGAGGAGACAGAAGAGAAAGTGGTACCTCCCCTTTTTGCTCCTTTTTGGGGAAGGTGACAGTAATTCTTCCTGAGGGTTCAACTTTGTCGTTTTGTGTTGACTCATTTTCTTAAGTGCAGGGGTATGGTATCCAGCTGGTAGATATCCCAGGGCTGCCTTAAGGAAGCTCCACAGGCTCCAACCCAGTTTGTTCTCTGCCAGGTCTGGAAGCTACAAGTCTAAACCCAAGGTGTGGGGGGATGAAATTCGTTTCTCTGAAGGCACTAGGAAGGATCCTTCCTTGCCTCTTCCCAGCTTCTGGTGGCTGCTGGCCACGGTTGGCTTTCTGCAAGCACCATTCCCAGGTTGGTCTTCACGTGCGCATGTCCTCATCTGCTATGTGTCTGTGTTGCTTCTCTTCTTCCAAGGACACCAGTCCCTAGGTCCACCCTGCTCCAGCATAACCTCATTCTAACTAACTGCATCTTTGAAGACCCTCGTTCCAAATAGGGTATATTCATAGGTACCTAGGATTGGACTTCAACCTCTCTCTCTTGGGGGGACACAATTCAAGCCACAACATGGATCAACAATATTTTTTTTCCAAGAGTGGAAAATAGTACTACATTTTCAGTAAAGGCAAGAGGGACTGTTTACGCTGTTCCTGGTCTCTACATTTCACCAAAACCCAGTGCTGAATTGTATGTAGCAGATAAAGGAGATTTAGGTATATATAAGCATTTTGGAAGTCAGGTAAGCAAGTAACGAAATAGTGAATACTGAAGTGACAGGGAAGGCTTCATCTCCTCCCTTGAGATGGAATCCATAGGAACTCAATCAGCCCTGGAGACAACAGGATACTCCAAATGTATTTCCCCTGAAGGGAGGTCCAATGAGGACAGTGATAGCAAACAGCATTACTCATTGTCGAGAGAAGTATAAATAGGACCCAGGAAAATGGCTACGCAAACTAGACTTTCCTTCCACATGCGGAAAATGGATGCAAATATGTGTGACTGCTTCAGCTTTATCTGCAGTTGAGCCATCGATTGCTTCTATCGATCCTAGTAACCCTGTGAGCACCAAGATCAAATGTATAATATATCTGTCCACTGAAGAAAAGGAAGACATCTGTAAAAAAAAAAAAAGATAAAGTATTGAATTAGTTTGTGGATCTCAGATGTTTTCAATTGAAAAGACCCCATGCCTGTTCCAAATAACATTCAAATGCAAATACGTTATTTTAAAAATTTAAACAAATTTATTATTAGTTTTTTTTTCTACTTACGGTTCTGCTGGAAAACTGCATCAATTTTGCTTCCTATTCCTGGAAAGAGACTTGCTATGCTTTTGGGATAACCTGGTTCCATGGATTGTCTTTGGTTATCATATCTAATGAAAAAAAAAAAGTCCCATGTTTTAAAACCAGTAGAGTATAAAACGACAATGGTTTTCTTTAAATTGCATATACTTTACAAAGTGTCTTCACACATATTTTCTCATTTGGTCTTCATACTGTCTTATTTCCTGGGCCTAAGAATGGTAGAGTTCTCTACCTAAGTGTACGATCCTATTTAAAAAATACCTGGGTAGCATGAACACTGAAACAGGCTTCTGATGGCTAGCACAGTGTTATTTTCCAAAAGAAGGGTTTTATTTTCTGAGGATTTCCTTAATGGGTACGTAGTTAGTCTCTCTCTTCCTCCCTCCCCCTACCAGCCCCCTCCCCGAATAGTGAGGTAATAAGTCCAATGTGGGCACCACGTTTTGTAGGCTATCTGAATAGCATTTTCTTGAGTGTGTTAGAATTCAACTCCTAACTGAGAATTAGCCTCTCTCTTTGCATCCCTTCCTGGTGCCTTATTAAGGTTTGCTGTTTCCTGATGTAGAATCCTCAAGACCATTGTGAAGACTTTTTAATTTTATAAAAATGACACTTTCAAAAGCCTTGGCAACATCCATCGTTTTGTGAAAAAGAATGCCTATCAGAGATCCCCTGGGTTTTTAAAAATCTTCAGATGGCTGGTTGTTAGTGGTCTGTAGACGGTAAATATGCAGATTTCAATCTCTAACTGAAACAATAGTTTGCCTTACCTCCAGATCTGGTCCTTTACAAAGAAGTAGGTTTTTCTCCTGTAGTAAACAGCTGCATCAATCGCTTGGACACTGCTTGGGAAGCCGTAGTCTAAGATGACCCTGGGATAACCTTGCTCAATGTCATAGCCCCTCAGAGCCCAGTACCGGCAGCCTGCCAACAAACCAGGTTATACTTTAGATAAAGTCCTTCTGTTCCCATAACATAATGTGGTATCACTTCTTAGTCTTTGTGTAAATTCATCATAGAAACAATGGAACAAGAGTCTTTAAAAGACCAAGGTGGTCAAGTTCACTGGGCTGTAGCAGTCTCAGTGGTTCCCCAGCATCTGCCAATAGTTCTGGGTTCTCAGCCTGACAGGCAGGGCCTCACAGCTGGGGGACTTTCTCAGTCACGAGCCTTCGATGCAGAGACACTCTCACAGCCGCGGGGACCCGGAGACTGTCAGACCCGGGACGAGGGAGGAAGAACAGCACGGCTGGGAAAGCAGGGCTGAGCAGGGAAGGGTTAGCTGCTCAAGCTCCTGCAGCAGTTGGGGCAGGGACCCGACCCGACCCAGGTCTCCTGACCAAGTCCGGACAGGGTACCTGCTCTCATGGGCTCACCTCCTCTCACCCTGGAAGGGACCACAAAGAAGTCTTCCCCTCACCTCAGGGACAGCTAAAACAGGATGAAAACGTAGGCAGTTACCTTTAAATAGGAAAACGAGGTCCTTGTCGGCATCCTCATAGGCCGCCTGTACACCATCGGGCAGGGACGGCCAGAACAGAGAGATGAAGTTGAGTTCGACACTTCTCAGCTGAGGGTGTCTCCTCCAGAAGTACCTAGCAGAGCACAAGGCTGTGAGTGGGCAGCCACCCGGGATCCCGCATGAGCGCCCGCCCCACGAGCCTGCGGGGAGGTAGGATGATGTCGTGGAGGCGGTGCTGAGCTCCGTAGCCAACATGCAGCGATGCTGTTCACCTGCTGGGCACTTCACAGGTTTTAGGGGACGTCCTAGGAATGACCTTCTATGATGACATTTGCCCTGTCCCCTCCGCACGCCCTGACAAGGCTCACTGTCGTTCCTACAAAACGCTGAGGATACTTAGAGTATTCCAGCAAAAGCAATACAAGTAAATCAGGCCCCGATCACACAGTCACAAAGCAGCCAGTGGAAGACTGAAAAACCCAACCGGTGAGATGACTTGCCCCCAGCTTATCACGTGATGGTTCCCATTTACTGGACTGAATGTGGGTGGGCGAGGATGGGGTTTCTCTGTCTGCTAAACCCCCGTGTGACGTTCCCGAGCACCTGGAGCCCGGTCCGCTACGCTATCACCCACAGCGGAATGTTTATGCATGTTTGCGGGTTTTTTTTTTTTTTTTTTAATTTTCCTGGATGTTTCAAGTTACCCAGAAAACACAATCCATTGCAATGAGATGCACAAGCACAGAATTCGAAGGAAAAGCTGAGCGGTATGTAACATGGGACTCGATTAGAATCCAGCTCTAAGTTATGCCAGTAAGTTAAGTCAAAGGAAGAAATAGTTCAGTCTTATACTTGTCTTTAAAGAACAGTATTTCTCCACGGAGGGTGGCGATGGCGTCAAACGTCAGTCTGGGGTCACAGGCTGTGGGTGTGGTCGGTCCGGTTGGTTGGACAGGGTTGTTTGAAGGACCTTAAAAAAAAACAACAACAAAGCTTTTTATAAGCTTCCGTGTAGTGTGACTGTTGGAGTACCTCGGACACTCAGGAAAGCAAAGGGTTTTCACAAGAGAAACCCTACCAGACTACCCCACAAGGCATTAAAGTAACTGTACATTTGGCCCTCTCAAAGTTATTATTATTTTAAGTCAGAATGGTGATTTTCAGAGATCATTCCAGTTTAAGTTGTGAAGTAAAGCAATTTGAATTCTGTGCCTCCCCCCTTCCCCACCCTCTACTTAAAAATCCTAATCCCATCCCTCTTCTCGAAGAACATCCTAGACAAGCCCACGCCTCACCATGTACGCAGGGTTCTTCTGATGACCTTACCGTAGATGGTCTGAATCCCGTTGATGTCATCTTGAGGGAGGTTGTAGGTGCTGGGGTCGTGGAAAGCGTAGTTGGGATACATCAAGGCACCGGGGTCAGTGGAGTGAGCGAGCCCCAAGGAGTGGCCAAATTCATGGGCGGCAACAAGAAACAAATTGTAATCTGAAATGCAAGCGTGTGTGGTCAGTGGCTCCAAGTGGGTCCAAGGGCGGAGACAATAGGATCTCAAGAAATGCAGCTTCCAAGCCAACAGAGCCTGGAGAAACTGCACTTGCCATGCCTGTCTTTCTCATTTTCCCTTCAGGCACCTGAAGAGAGAGGCTGGAAGCAATCAAGGTAGGAGTTGTAGGTTCAGGTGGGGGAAGCTTCTCATCAAATCTCAGAACCAAGAAATACTGCCTTTATTCTGACTCAGGTATTCCATGGATGTGGACCTGAGGCTGAGAGAAGGGATGGCAGGCCCCACAGTCCCGTGAGGCTCCGCAGCCCTTTCTAGCCTCCCAGGCCCTCAGCCCCTTCGATAGAGTCTCAGTGCATGGGCAGTTCGAGAAGAAGCCTGCCGGGCTGCCATTAGCCTTGGATGCAGACGGACCTGCTGTGCCTCCCTGATCACCCATCAGCCAGCACCAGCTCCTCCCTGATTCCCGTTCTCAAAGTAGCTTCGAGGATTCTCTACCCTCCCCCTTGTTTGAATGAGACAAACCCTGCTCCTTCCCTCATCTTTAACTTCTAGGAGCACAATGCCTTCCCCAGCTGGGAACCTGACTTCCAAGGCTCACACTTCTGTCAGATAGAGCCCAAGCTCCTTGGCCAAGTGCAAGAACCCCTCACTTGCCCAGCAGACACATGTGATGTGAACCCTTCACTCCGGCTGCCCCACATACACAGTGCACACGGTCTTCCATGCCCACCTCTTAAAACTGAGTACTTTCTACATGCGGGGAAGCGTGATATGATTCAGTCCTCACAATATTTGTGTGAAGTATTGTTAGAAATATTTTTACAGTAAAGGAACTGCAAGCCCACAGAGTTTGGGTATCTCGTTGGAGGTCTGGCAACTGGTAAGTGGTCGAGCTGGGGCCAAATCCAGGTTGATGGCAAGACCTGTGCTCTGACGACAGCGTTCAACTTCCTACTGATAACTATCCGAGTGAAATTCTACCGTGCTCCAAGACTTTTCTTCCTGACTGTCACATCCTTGCATTTTTGCATTCCGGAATGCATCTCAGAAAACCTCTCTGAGGGCCTGGAGCACGCTGTGCAGGGCCCTGGGGGATCTGCCATGATGCACAGTCTAGAAGGGGAGATGCACGTCAATGACGTGAATGGCACGAGAGCAGCTGAGAAAGAGAAACAAAGGCTGTTGGGATTCTGAGGAGAAAGTCCTCACTTCCAGCTGAAAGACAAGACGGGGCGGCATGGGGCAGAGCAGAGAGAGATTTTGGAAGGGGCCTGGGGGTGCAATGTGAGCAGATATAGGGAGCTTGGGAAGCACGTGGGCATCTGGATCATTTAGTTCAGGTAAGAGGTGACGACCACGTGCACCAGTGGGGAGGGCAAGAGGAATTCAAAGTAGTGGGGTGTTAGTTATCTTTGGGTACACACAGCTCCTAGCACAAGGACTTGGGTGGACAAAACACTCACAACATATATGTTGAGAAAATGGTGGGAGGAGCAGGTTCCAAGCAAAGATAAAAGGGTCCTTTCCTATTTTCTAAAGCGTTCTGTGGCGTCTTGTTGCCCCGTGGCCTTGTGAACTACCACGTGGTCTGCATATACCTGTCCTTATCCTCACTTCTTCCCTTCAGGGTCTGACTCTTCTCATTATCAGTCTCCTCCTGAAAGGGGTGGATTGTCCTACAGCAACAACCACTGAAAAAGAGTTCTATGAAATGAAATAACTCGACGAAAAACATGGTGGCTGTTTTCTAAGTGGGATAGTTTTCCAAATGAACACGATTATTTCTGGATTTCCAAAAATAAGGACATCCTCCAAACATCATTAAATTTCAGAATATTACAAAGAAACACATACCCTAAAGCAGTGGTCAGCAAACTTCTTCTGTGAAGGTGTAGATAGTAAGTATTTTAGGCTTTGTGAGCCGTGTGCTTTCCATAGCAAGTACTCAGCTCTGCTGTTGTGCTGTGAGAACAGCCCTAGGTGATGCATGAACCAGTAAGGGTGTCCCTGTTTCAATAAAACTTTATTTATACAAACAGGATGGGGCAGGATCTAGCCACGGTCTGTAGCTTTTTGATTTCTGTCCTAGGAAAACAAGGTCAGCACTTAGCTCAAGGGCTTTTTTAAAACCTAAATTTACTTAGCATTATGAGGTAGCAAAAATTTAAAACGATCAGCTTGTGTGAGTTTGAAATGTTGCAGTAACTTGGGTGTGTGTGTATGTATGCAGGAGGGGCTTCTGATGTGAGAAAAGCATATTCAGAGCTGCATGTTGATGCGACCTCGGTTAACTTACTGCTGGAAGTTGTGGTCCACGTTTCTTCTGCATCGAAGTGAGCGTCTCCTCCAATACCTTGGCCCGGCTGAAAGGCATGAGCGAGGACCCCATTGGGTCCATCGAATGGAGAATTGTCGCCATGATCTGAAACAAGACAGTTTGTCTCAGGTCCCTGCCGAGTCCCAGTTTAGCCAGGGAAGGCAAATCTGAGCACAACGGCTGCGAGCCTACCTCCTTGGACAAAGGTGATCTCGATGTCTGCTTCTCCCTGAGAGATCTTGGTGAAGGTCAGGGTTGACACGTTGCTCCACACTTGAAAGGCTTCCTTAATAGCAGCTTCCACATCGGTCTCTGACAACTGTGTCGTGTACTTAATAATCCTTCAAAATGAGGAGACGGGAGGAGGACTTGTTATGGTTTAGAAGGGCAGGCCACAGCGGACCACGCTTCTCCATTTGGGAGTGAGGGGTATATGTGATGAGCTAGCCCTGGAGGGGGCCTAGGGAGGGGGCAGGCGTCAAGGCTGCAGACAGACGTGGCCTCTGCACAGGTCCCTCCCTATCGTTAAACTCAGTTTCTTTATTCATAAGAGGAGGATCATAAAATAGTAGCCCTCTCATAGGGTGGTTGTGGGGATTAAGTACATATCAAGTATTCAGCTCAGTACTTGGCACATCACAGTGTTGAACAAATACTGGGTATCATTAACTGTCATCATCAGGAGGCATGGAACGTGGGGCTAGTCTGTCCAGCAGTGAGTGAGCCTTTTTTGGGGTCCTACATGGAGTTCATAGAGAGACAGCCTAATGTTGCCATCATCCTCTTGAGGCTGCTGGAGAAGGAGGACAAAAGCGTCAGGCTGTGAGGTGAGGAGAGCCTGTGGGGTCTTTGCTCCTTCACACCAGACTCTGGCCTCTCCGGGGCAGGGACACCTGTCTCCCATGAATCCCACATCCTGGGACAGTGCCTGGCACGTCACAGATGCTCGACAAACACCCCTGTCGGGTTCTAGAACTCAAACTATCACCTGTAGGTCAGGTTAGTTTGTTTCCACTTGGGGTTTCCCGGGGTTAACATGAAGTCTCCACTGTCTGGCACCCCGCAGCGAGGCTTCTGCATCATCTCCAGCGTCTCGCGATCCGGCTTCCCCGTCTCGTTCAACCCAAAGAACCGCTGCATCTCTTTCAGCTTCTCAACAATCACACTAGAGCTGTTCTGCCTCGCAGACCGGAATCCTTTCGGCGGTAACTGGTAGAACTTTTCTAGGTAATCCTGGACAAAGAGACACACGTGACGGGACCTCCTGTGTCCTTACCTTCGGCTCCCTGGGCATTGTGCATCCTTTCTGCGCCACCACAGACTTCTAACAGGCTAATAACCTGATGGAGGAGCAACAACACGGATTTGGGGTCGAGTTTGAGAGAACAGGGACAATGGGTCAGAACAGCCCCTCCGTCCAGCGCTCCGGTTAGTGTTTATACAAAAGAACATGTGTTTCATAAAGGATGAGGTCCAAGTCCCCATGCAAAACCCTAGTACACAGTCAGGAGACTGGTTCCTACTTATGAAAAATAAAGAGCGCTGGTGTATATTGATTTCTTCAGGTGTTAATTGCATCGATGTGGATTCTCTTTTAATTATCTTTCCGCTGGGGTGCCTGGGTGGCTCAGTTGGTTAAGCGACTGCCTTCGGCTCAGGTCATGATCCTGGAGTCCCGGGATCGAGTCCCACATCGGGCTCCCT